AACTACCACCGGATAATAAATAAGGAGTTCGACATTGATCATTCCGCTAGGAATACGTTATATACTCTACTTTATTAGTAGTATTGTAGAGGTGGTTCAATGCATATTAAGCCTCTACCATGACTTGCGAAAAAAGAACGTCGTGGAAATTTCGTAATTTTTCAACATAACCTCGTATACTGATGGATTTAAGCACTGGGCACACGAGAATTCAGGATACACCATATTGCTTGTCAGTTCTATTTCGTCCAGTCCAAAATTTTTCTATTAAGAACTAATGAGATGAATTTTGATTGAAAACGTCATGCACGCGATCCCTCCCACCAATAATAACCACGGCTTCTATCTATATTTCTGATTCTCACCGATACTCCGCAAAATTGACAGCTTTGAAAGCACTGATATAGAAAGAGGCTTCAATACAAATATTTGCAAGATCTCCATGAAGCCAGTTTCGAATCGCCGTGCAGCTGTCGCTGTGAAACAAACACAAAGCCAGTATCTGATAAGTCTTATGCGCTCATCTAGCCACAAACGCATTGACTTAGAACAAACTCCCTTGACATCAGTGATTTGTTAGGTATATGCAAAGAATTTCACTCGAATATTAATCACATTTTGCATTTTTCTAACGTAATTTATATTAGTCACCCAAAAAATTACACGTAGCTCTCGTCAGGAACTGTTCCGACCAGTATATAATGCTGAGATATTTGCAAAACTCCGGACCTCAGGTGTATGCGGTGGGGAACGAATCCACTATTGTCCTTACCAGGGAGTAGCGCACCTCACCACCACACCATCCTGGTCCTTCGTTTTGCCTGTCTCTCAGCTAGTTCTATTGATCTTTTGTCATCAGCAATCACCCGTCAACGGGATTGATCTGGGGAGCCTCAGCTTAACTGCCCAAATCGGCATTGAACCCAGTCATAAACACTTGTATCAGTCAAATTTGAAGACCTATTCTTTTGCTTTGTTGATCTAGACACTGGTCCGAACAATCTTAACCCTTTTATTTACTGCCTTTTTCTTTTTAATGGCAGGGTATGTTGCGAAACTCGCATTTAATGCTGAGATATTTGCAACCTATTGGTCGAAGAAAAGCTTTCATCCACCTCAGTATTGTTTAATTAAGTCTTAATCCCAAATACGATCGTTATTATTTACATAGGAATTGTGACGTACGGTAGAGGGCCCACCCTCACTCCCAACTCTCCTCCACCACCACGGCAAGTCCTTATAACAGTTTATTGTCTTAGTGCTAGTTCAATAAGGAAACGTTTCTGAGTGCCGAACAGCAATTTAGAGCAGAAGATTTCAACATCAGCATAGTCACTATAGTTGGGAAAAAATTCGACATTTCTAACTGCCTGTAAATCAAGGACTCTGCCTATACCAAAAAATGTCACCGAACTAACTCGCATAGTGATAAACTTCACCTTTTATCAAAACGAATGGTGATTACTTGTGTTGGTGTCCTGCCCTAGAATGGTAATTCTGAGGTTAGATGATTGCGAGAACACGTCAATTAAAGAATCTAGGTGTCCATGTAATACCATTATAGGTAGATCACACCGATATCAAAGCTCAATTCAGTCAAGTTCCACTGTTCCACAATTCCACAGTCAAGTTTGAATAGCACCTGCCAACAATTCAGCAAGGAGAGCTTGGCTTGCGAAAGTAGAACAATAACATCACGAAGGGCTAACCTTCATAAGTCATACTGGCGACGAACTTCGTGTTTAACGCCCTGGTAACTTTATAAACAAGTATGACTTATGGTAACGCTTTTCCAATACGCCGAATCGCTAACGATGAAAGTGGAAAGAATGTAGGAGGACATAATAAAGAATTTTGTGATGATATTTTATAATCGTGTGATGAAATAAAAATGACTCTGGAAAGAGCAAAGTCAGCAGAACTCTCAGCCTCTCTGCATTAAAACGTATTAACAACTATTGTCGACTCATCAAGAACTTTCCGCAAGAACACAATTAGTTGCTGATCAACACCGAAACGAACTGAAAGAGCAGAAAGTCATTGAACTTTAAACATTCTATGAAATGTACCCGATAAGGTTTCTGATCACCTCTCATTCATTTAATTCTCATCCCAAAAAAAAATTCCCAGCTGGGTAGTTCCAGTACAATCTTACGGCAGCCAAACGCGAAAACAGTTCTGTAGTTTGCAGAAAGCAAATTCCGAACCTTAGGAAATCCTGTGACCTTTTACTGGAGATAATGTAATTGTGATCAATATAATCTTCGCTGTAACATGTAAAATAATAGCTTAGAACTTGCTGAGGGACAGGCGAAACGAAGGACCCGTGGTGGTGAGCACGTTACTCGCCGAAAAGGACAGTAGCGCATTCGTTCCCCACAGCAGACACCTGCGGTCCGGAGTATTGCAAATATCTCAGCATCATTTTGGTTATAGCTGAGAGAATTTCATGAAAAAAAGGGAGAGAAGAATTATTCCCATGATATGTGGTACTTCATATTCGATGTTCAGTGAGATCATTGATAGGAAAATGAAAAAGAAAACTATGCGAAAACATACATAAAGCGCATCCATCATCCACCTAAAGTTGAACATGAAAATGTAAACTATGAAATTTTGAAGCCGACCTCTTCGTCACGGCGGAATGTCGTCTACCAAGCTAGAATGGATTTGAGAGTGATAAAAGGTCACACACCTGTGTGTGTAGTACGGTGCCGCGTCTCCACGTAACGTATATGATAATAATAATGATGTTTATCGAAAGTGTATTTGACCTAATTTGAAGACCTCATGGATGCTCACGACGAAACAACATCAAGATCGTCGCGATCAATTCATCACGCCCGACTAGAAGGACACAATCCACGATGTTAATCAAACTGATGATAATAGAGAATATGGCGTCCGCCATTACAATGGTCGTTGCAGTCTCAATTCGCCAACGTCGCCATGGATTTGAAGGATTTCCAGCAGTGATTTTCGTGGCACAACGACTACTTGTATAAATACGTATGTAGATGTGCTTGTGATATTATCACCCTGTTTAGTTGGAGACGGGCATAGTTAAGTGCACAGAAGCTCGCTGCAACACATACAGTAATTGATTCGATCCTGCCTTCTGAGCAAATCTAGTCTTCCACCATTACGGAGTCGGCAACTGGAATCAGACTTCTCCGGAAAAAATAAGGACTTACTTTATGCATTAGTAGGCCACTGCAAGTAACTGTACTGACCAGATATGCATCGATCTCAAACGATACTTGATGAAGTCGAATATATGGAACATCCCCCAGAGAATGATCAACGCCAAAAGCTTTATGTTTTCTATCCTTTTATCAGGCTACGAATGAAGTCGAATACATAGCTCATCCCGAACGGCTTTACAGACGGCAAATGCTTTTTATACTTCGACAAACCATCATTTTAGTCACCGTAGATGGTTACACAATCCATCGATTATGCTTTTTTATTCTACATGATCCGCTATCACATCTATTGTGGGGATTCTAGCACTTCTGCAATCGACCGGCTTCCTCGCATCGAACACCCACAATGATTTTTGAACATTCTGTGCGTTATTCTTGAGGATTTCGTCTTCCTTGTGAATGTCGTAGAACGCTGGTCGAGTTATTCTCCTTGTAACCTTGGAGATAGCCAGTCGGTCTAAGGCGTTTCTACGTGGATTGGAAGAGAATGTTAGGACTGGGATCAAACTAGTGCTTCTGCTTCCTGATTGACGGCATCACTAACCACTGCGCTATACCGCCCGCCACCGATCATAACCTTGAGAATATTGGAGTTCTTATTGCCCATATGCGAAGTCGAACTGTCAAAAACGGGCTCACCAACTTTGGTGCCCCATTATTTTCTGGCGCATATTCTCTGTGGCAAACACACGACGAACAATCAGCAGTTCCTGTGAACTAATCTCCGTTGATTTTAAGTGCTTAAAACGAAAAAGCAAATGTGAAAGCAAACAACGGCCTTTGTACAGAGGCTTGTTGAAATATCTGAAATATTATGTTTATATTATTATTTATAGTGTACTTCATTATTTTATTTTATTTTTTAATATTTGTATTAATATTTAAAATACTTGAGCTTGTCTAAATAATTTACAACAATAATTCAGGATGAAATGTTTAATAAATAAGTCCCATTCAGGAAGAAAATGACTACTAGAACTCCGTTACTTGTCATTTTTAGGAGAAAAGTAAATAATTTATAATGAGTGACGTCGACAGAATAAAAATAGGAAAATCAATAAACTAAGTGGTAAATCGAAAAAGCATTTAAGGAATTGTAAAAATATGGTGGCCTAATACACCATGTCTATTTAAACCTTCAACGACCAACTATTACCCCTATATTAATTCTTTAGTGTTGAGTCACTAATAAGCATTATGAGGGCGAGTGTGGCGTAGTGGTCAGAGATGCTCTGCAACACATGGGACCGATCCCCACGCCCTTGGCCCACCAAGACTTCCATCCCTCCGGAGTCGGCAAATTGGTACGACGCTTGTCTAAGAGGATAGTAGCACTGGTTGGATACATAGGTAGGTCAGTGCGACTCATTGTAAAGGCCAGATATGCATTCAATCACCTTCAAATTCCCTCAGGATTGACCAAAGCAGAGAGCTTTTTTAAGCGTTATGATAAGACTATAATGGAAAGAAAATCCAGTAAAAATAAAACATTGAAATATGACGAATGTAACAGTGACAACATAATTTATGATTGATAATTTGAAGTTTTAATTCACCTTGTAACATGTAGGATTTATATTCCAATTTCTTTGTAAAAAAAAACAGTAGATCAAACAGTTCCTAATTCCTTCTACTTCACTGTTACGAAAATCCTACTAGAATAACTTGTAACTCTTCAATCAGCCTGAATAAAAAACCGAGGCCATTTGTAAAGCATGGAACAAGCACGGATTCATTCTCTCAACAAATTCATTGAAAGAGTGCAGCATTTAAGTTCTTAGAGGTCACACGATTTTAGCCGGCATTCTCTTCCTGCTCAGAGCAAGTCTGTACTAGAAATCGATCCTGTTCAAGAAGAAATCCACTCACGAGGTGACACAGCTTCTCCCAATCCACAAGGATCGCGAAGCGCTAGAGTTTCGACTTTCGAACACCTCGACACAAGTATCCAAATAAGAAGAAATATCCAATTAAGGGGATAAGTTGAAACTTCTTTAAATTCGAATATCTGCTATTTGTATTTCTTTCTTTACTCGCTTTTGTTTACCGGCTTAATCTAAACGAGCCCTAATGAAGGAAGAAATCTTCTCGGTTATGATGCTTATGCTCAGTGATGATTTTTAGAGTTCAAACTCTGGACATGAAAGAGTTTTCTCAAACATGGCTGTTAAACAAACCGTCAACGAAAAACAATCACTGTTTGACAACATGGGACTAAGTAGAGCGCCACACTTCGTTATCCCACGGATGAACTTCAATCTGACAACATTCAAGGGCGAGCGCTACTCCAGAAAGTTGTCAGCCACACATGAAATCAGTGCTGTACTTCGTATAGAACTATTCTGTTCTAGTACCGAAGTAAATAATAGACCTTTACCATCAATTCAATTAAATCGGTCATTAAAAAAGAGTGATAACAACAGAAAGTGGTCACTGGTCATCAACTAACCTTATGGCTTCTTCCATAATTGGGTAGACTGCGGTATTCCTTTGTATAGTCCTCGGACAGACTGCTGACATCGTCATAATCTCGCCTTCCTTCTGCTTTCGTTTTTCGCTTCCGTCGCCATGTATCCAGGTCCTCTTGCCATGAATCATTGTCGTCAAATAGCGGCTAAGATAATCCACATTTAATAAAACAGCCAGTTCACATAATAACAACCATTTTCTCCTGCAAATACGTCGTATCTACAGTGACAATGAAAAGCGATGTTTAGAGGTACTACAATGCTACCTTGTAATAACTGAACCATCGACATCGATAGTGGGTTTAGCACGTTTTGCACTACTCTACGGACACTGTCATTCGTTCGCCATAAAAGATATTATAGACTATTAGTATGATAGTATTAGAGATTTCCTCTTTATCGTATTTCTCCATCGCATAGAAACATTCAACAATTTCTGCCGTTATTTCCGACTAGCGCTATAATCTATTCCACAATGTGTTCTGCTCAGTTCCTAATTTTTCCCACATTGAAAAAACTTGTGTGTATCGCAGCTTTTGGTAACTGATTTCTACAGGAATGGTAGGTCTTGTTGGAGAAGCATGAAAACGAACTAGTGATCACACATGTATGATATAGAATCTCTAACCATTACCTTTCTGCACTCTAATCCTTACACGGAGAACTATTAGAGTGAAGGATTTCGAATAACACTGTGAAATATTCGACTCACTCCGTTACGCGCCAATTTAGCTCGTTCCCTTTTCTGCTGCTCGGTGATACTGATCAACTTTCGAGCATTTTCCGCCAGTGACATGGCGCTCGTTGAGACGAACTGGAGGGGATCGTGTGCGGTCTGAAACGATAAACACTGCTGACCAGTAACTTTCATGCCATAACAGCAAGATGTTCTAGTGCTCATTATCGTAATCAAAAAAAAATTTAAACAAAATGTTGGTCTGGAAAGGTGTGACATTGAGAAGATTTTGGTTAGATAAGATTAATCCATTCACCTGTCCAGGTCCTCGCACCGTTTGTAAAGTCGCCGTATTAATGTGTGGTGAGCTGAAAGAGAAGAAACGGTTGGCAATACTAAATTTCTCTAGAGAAGGATTCAACAAAAAAAGTGGAACAATTGAGAGAAAGTAAACAAAAATAAACGTCTCCAAGAAGTCTAAACAAAGAAAAAAAACAAGAACGAATAAGAGTAAAGCTAATCCTTAAGAGGAAAGAGAGAGAGAGTACAGGAAGTATGTTATAATGATCTGGTAAGGACCGCATTATTCCGTGGAAATGGCATACTCTGGTGTACCTTGGAACAAAAATTGAACTCGTATTGACAAGCAATTCTGTATTCATTATAGTACTAAAATGGTATTGTAGACGAGGACGCTTTAAAAAATCAATGAGCTGAAAATTTATTAACACTAATGACAATAACAATAACGATCACAGTAATAGCAATTCTTCCCAATGGTTTCCGTCGTGGCTGGATGGTGTTCCAGTGTAGTGTTCCAGGCTGCAGTGTACACGAGGCGTGGGAGGGGGGGGGGGGGGTTTCATCCCCTTAGTACGGTCTCCCATGCTGAAAAGGAGTCCGGCGTTTCCATCACGAAGCCCAACTAAGAGCAAACCACTACGGAGATCTACCACCGTCCAGGCTTCAAACTACTCTACCACCATTTCACAGCTGAGCATTCAGAAAGTGTGGTTGAGGATTGGAAGCTGGCTTGTGGCTCTGAGTTTCGCAAATATCTCAGTATCGTCGTGGTTGCATTTCACATGATACTCAGCGATGAAGAAATAACAGGCAGTAGATAAAAAGTTAGACATTATAATAGTGATTATTTTAATGATCTAAGCATCCGGTTCAGCATATACAGGGATGCTAGTCCTTAAATTGAATTGATTTTCAGAGTACGTACATGTTAGCTCCACAAGTACGATTTTATCCCGTATTTGCCATTAGAGGGCTTTGCGTAGCCATCCAACGTTACATCTTCAGTAAACCAGACCATTTCTTTCGATTCGACTCCTGTACTCTTATCTTTCATCCACGGAGGTCTGCTTAGGTGTTCAACTGCTAATTGAGAATTTTTGATGTTTATCATGAACGTCGTTGAATGCTATTAGGTACACCGCCCCTAGAGCCCTGCGATAGCCCTACTAGAATGCTTGCAGCTCTCCACCATAAAAACAATCGTTAGTCTTTGTTGGTGGGCTCCTCCCAGACAAGCATTGAGCCAAATGCTCGACCCCAGATGGATATGAAGCTTCGCTGACCCGTTGCGAAGTTAAAGCAGAGCAGTAGGAGTGTTGAACGACTATACCGCATCGCTAGCTTTTCTCAACAGCAATAATATCAATTGATTATAGTCAGACTAACAGTCTGCATTGTCATACCGTTAAGACAGTAATAATTTTAATAACAACCAGCTTCTAAGATATTTAATAAATCAACTGTTTTCCAGTGAGTGACTTCAGCACTTGACAGTAACACTCTAGAACAACTTTCAACGGCGCTGATAAATCCTCGAAGACAAAACATCCAAAAGGTATAAAACTTCAGTACATTAATCTGATACTGATGTTGTTGGAACTACGAAAAGCAATGAAAGCTTAGAAATGAACAAAATCTCTCTAATGCAGACGACGATTAAGCAAACAACACGCGGTTGTCATTCGTTCGCTGTTCATCGCAAAAACACCCTAAACATGGGCAGATGTTCTCTCCACTACTACGCTACAAAGGATTTGCACCATTCTATGCACAGAACGACGAAGAAGAATAGAACAATGTACAAAAAGTAAACATTCACGTCTATTTGATGTGACGAAGAATGCGAAGTTTATTCCTATAACTGATAAAGTCTAGCCTAGATCCTCGTGTGAATTCCAGTACGTACGTGCACTTCGCATTGTGGCAATAATTGTATGATAACTCAGCTTGTGATTAAACACTCAGCATAGTAGCCACTTTTTATTGATGTCTATTCGTTTTAGCTGGCAGGATATAATCCGTGATACAACCACAATGATGCTGAGATGTTTGCAAAACTGCGAACAGCAGGTGTCTACAGTGAAGATCGAACCCGATATTACCATTTACGGAAGCTAACATGGTTTTCTTACGAAAGCCATACCAGTAGTTCGAAAAAACCGGAGTCTTCAGTACTGTGTGGTAGTAGAGGTAGCATTTCTTCACATAGCATAGAAGCTTAAGTGATCATATTACCTTCTAAACAACCCGATTTAGCTGAAACTTATATGACCGTCATCTGTTTTCGACAAAAAATTCGTAATCAACATATTTAAAATGTGAAGTTGTAAGGCGTTGTGGTCCAATCGTAACTCCATAGAAAACAACGATTGACCCAAGAACAGCCACTGCATGATCTTTTCCCTTAAAAGAACTAGTTATGAATAGTAGAAGTTGAAGACGTGGCGCTAAGAGGGGAACAAGACGAAATTCAGAGAACAAATAAACCGACTACATCTTTTAGAAGTGACTATAATTGATCGCAGTATCATTAACAGAACGAATGAACTCAATGTAACCTAGCTATGGCTAGAAATACTGCCCATAACGTGGTTTATAGAGAACAGGGAGTTCTGTTAGGAATTAGGAACGACCATCACCTTATGAACAGGCCATAGATTCTTCTAGAAAGAGACTAACGAGGTCGTAGAGACAATGATAGCCGCAAAAATACACTGCATACGAAGAGATGTTAACGAACACGAACTGCACTTGAACAGGGTCGAATAAGAGTCATACGAGGGTAGCCGTGGAATCCAGAAACAATATGAGGACAAATACGGCTGGACAAGAGAATGAATGAAGTATGGACGATATGTACGTAGGAAGAGTTGCATGATGGATTGAAAACGACCGTGAGACGAAAAAACTTAGAAGCAACATAGCATATCGAATACAAAGAAGCTAGAGAAAGCGGTGAATAGAAGAATAGTAGATAATGACATATAGAGCAAAGCAGTAACGGAAAGAGAAGGGAAAAAGAAAATTCTATGAAGAAAAAAATCGATGTTAAAAACAGACGCTGTCAGAGGGTGGCACGTATGGAAAAAACAAAGGGTAGCGCAATGTAGTTACAATGAATCAATAGAGGTAGACTGTTTCTAATTGTTTAGGTGAAAAATTGGTGCAGAATTCTCCTGTACATACGAGCAAAACATTTAAGCTTTCAAAGAAAAGAAATAAAAACTCTCGCACCTCACATTTCGGCATGCTTCAGCGCAGTTCAAATTAGCGAGGTACTTCGAAACCTGAAATTTCACTCGTACTCAAGGTATTTCTTAGTAGATCTGCAAAAACATAATGAAAGATAATCTACAAAGAAATTTTGGTCATATGGTCTAAATAAGCTGAATTATATTAATCAGAGATGGGTGCGTGTGGCGCAGTGGTCCGATGCGCCCTGCACCACATATGCGGGGTCGATCCACGCGTCCATAGCTTACCAAGCCTTCCATCACTCAGGCGTTGGCATATTAGTGCCAAACTTGTTTGGGAGGATAGCAGCACTAGGCGACCACGAGTCATTGTAAAGGCCAGATATGCATTCAATCACCTCCAAACGATGCTTAATGAAGTCGAATGCATGGCGCATCTCTCAGAGGTTGATCAACGTCGAGAGCTTTGTCCTTTTTATTTTTTTAATATTGATCAAAAGAAAATAAACTAAAGAGCATTAAGGAGAAGGAAGGAAATCAGAAATAAAGGCTTTAGCAGTAGGTCGATGAGTGTAAATTAAAAACTGAATACTTAGGTATCTTTTCGTTAAAAAACTTTTAAAGCCTTTAATTTCCAATCATCCTCTCAGCAGGGTCTACCAAGCTGAGGCGTCCGGCGTTTCCATTAGGAAGCCCAGCTAAGAATAGACTAATACCGGGATCCACCACCGACCTGATATCAAACTAGTCGCATAGTGGCAATCTTACTCTGATCCACAAGGGCGGTGAATACCTACGGTGGTAACGACCCGAGACAGACTTTGGTCAGGCTGACCCCGGGATTCCAGGGAACCACGATGGCTTAACCAGCAAATCCCCGAAAAATGGAGATTATGCTTGGGCCCGCACAACTAGTGAGGGCTGGCCGTTCAAGTATCAAGTAAGTATATTGGGATCAACTGTCTAAATGGTATTGCGAACATAAAGGAAAAAATATTACAACTGTCATATTTTAACGGAATTTTATGGAACATTACTAAGAAGAAAAGTGCAGTTTCTTACTCTTTTGTTTTGCATTTATATTTGCAACAGATAAAAGCATTATGTACATATACAAGAGTACGGTATTGGCTGCCACATGAACGTGTCCTTCAACTTTCAACTTCCGCCAGTCTACGTGTCACGTGCGAGCTACCAGTGACAACTATGCAAATTAAAAAAAAACAGAAGAACGAAGTACGAACTGTCCTTAATAAGAACTCTCCAACCTAATAATAAAGAAGCTAAGAAATATGAAGTGGTAGATTATGCAGAACACCTATGACACCAAAAAATTTTTTGCTTCCCAAAGCCATAATAATAGAGCTTATGAGTTCCATCTTCAGACGTCAAATTACAAGGTGCACTTGCATCTGAGGTCCTGCGACGACTATGTAAACGGTAATGTTTGATGATATATGCGACGTTTAAAATTTTGGATTACTATTGGTTTGGTGAGGTAAACCTACCTTCGTGTTAGCGTCCATGGGGACGTGTGAGCTCGTGAGTTTGTTGCCTTTTCCCAACGAACCGTTGCCGTTCCGCCGTACCTGAACGAATTCTTCAGCTGATAAAGATGTCTTAACACTAGAGTTATCATGATGACTCGCTTACTTTACGACAAAAACGCGTTCAAGACAGATAAGTCACATTTATAAC